TCTGTGTATCAGGGTATGTATCCTTAAGAGTGTCAGTGTACGTATATATGTGTCAGGGTGTGTGTCTGTCAGTGTATGTATCTGACACACAAGCGTATACACAGAGAAACACACACAGATACATAAACTGACAAACATGCAGATACACAGACACATATATACGTACACTGACACACTTAAGGATACATGCTCACGCACAGATACTTATCCTGACACACAGATACACATGTGGATACAGAGTTACACACATGCAGATATACAATGCATGTATCTTACTGATTTCAGTAAGGCTTTTGACACTGTTGCACATAAAAGGTTTATCAATAAACTGCAATCTTTAAGTTTGGATTCCAATATTGTTGAATGGGTAAGGCAGTGGCTGAGTGACAGGCAATAGAGGGTTGTAGTTAATGGAATATATTCGAAGCTTGGACTTGTCACCAGTGGGGTACCTCAGGGATCTGTACTTGGACCCATTCTCTTTAATATTTTTATTAGTGATATTGCAGAAGGTCTTGATGGTAAGGTATGTCTTTTGCTGATGATACTAAGATATGTAACAGGGTTGATGTTCCAGGAGGGATAAGCCAAATGACAAATGATTTAGGTAAACTAGAAAAATGGTCAGAATTGTGGCAATTGACATTTAATGTGGATAAGTGCAAGATAATGCATCTTGGACGTAAAAACCCAAGGGCAGAGTATAGGATATTTGATAGAGTCCTAACCTCAACATATGAGGAAAGGGATGTAGGGGTGATTATTTCTGATGACTTAAAGGTAGGCAGACAATGTAACAGAGCAGCAGGAAATGCTAGCAGAATGCTTGGTTGTATAGGGAGAGGTATTAGCAGTAGAAAGAGTGAAGTTCTCATGCCATTGTACAGAACACTGGTGAGACCTCACTTGGAGTATTGTTCACAGTACTGGAGACCGTATCTTCAGAAGGATATTGATACCTTAGAGAGGGTTCAGAGAAGGGCTACTAAACTGGTTCATGGATTGCAGGATACATCTTACCAGGAAAGGTTAAAGGATCTTAACATGTATAGCTTGGAGGAAAGACGAGACAAGGGGGATATGACAGAAACATTTAAATACATAAAGGGAATCAACACAGTAAAGGAGGAGACTATATTTCAAAAAAAGAAAAACTACCACAACAAGAGGACATAGTCTTAAATTAGAGGGACATAGGTTTAAAAATAATATCAGGAAGTATTACTTTACTGAGAGGGTAGTGCATGCATGGAATAGCCTTCCAGCTGAAGTGGTAGAGGTTAACACAGTAAGGGAGTTTAAGCATGCGTGGAATAGGCATAAGGCTATCCTAACTATAAGATAAGGCCAGGGTCCAATGAAAGTATTTAGAAAATTGTGCAGACTAGATGGGCCGAATGGTTCTTATCTGCCGTCACATTCTATGTTTCTATGTTTCTATCTTAAGGATACACACCCTGACATACAGATATACAATTTAACACACACATGCAGATACACAGAGATACAAACACTGGCACAGATACTGTGCTACATGTGAGGGGTGCTCTGTGTGTGTGTTAGGGGTGCTGTGTGTGCACACACATTTTCATAGCCCCCTCCCCCAATTGCTGTGTGTGTGTTTGTGAGGGGTGCTCTGTTTGTGAGGGGTGTTGTGTGTGTGAGGGGTGGTGTGTGTATGGGGAGCTCTGTAAGTGTGTGTGAAAGGGGTGCTGTGTGAGAGGGGTGCTATGTGAGAGTGGTGTTGTGTGTGTGTGTTAGGGGTGCTGTGTGTGTGTGTGGAGTGCTGTGTGTGTGTGTGTCACAGGGGTGCTGTGTGTTTGAGGAGTGCTGTGTTTGTGTGTGTGCAAGGGGTGCTGTGTGAGGGGTGCTGTGTGTGTGTGTGTGTGACAGGGGTGCTCTATGTGTGACAAGGGTGCTGTGTGTGGGAGGGGTGCTGTGTAAGGGGTGCTCTGTGTGTTTGTGAGGGGTGCAGTGTGTGTGACAGGGGTTCTGCGTGTGTGTGGGGGGAGGGGTGCTGTCTGTGTGTGTGCTCTGTGTGTGTGTGAAAGGGGTGCAGTGTATGTGTGTGTGTGTTTGTGAGGTGTGCTCTGTGTGAGTGATGGGTATTGTGTGTGTGGGGGGGGTGGCAGACGGGGTGTGCTTATATATAGTTGCAGAAAAAGTATGTGAACACTTTGGAATGATATGGATTTCTGCACAAATTGGTCATGAAACATGATCTGATCATCATCTAAGTCACAACAATAGACAATCACTGTCTGCTTAATCTAATAACACACAAAGAATGAAATGTTGCCATGTTTTTATTGAACACACCATGTAAACATTCACAGTGCAGGTGGAAAAAGTATGTGAAGACTGGGTTGTCAGACAAAATTGCATTTCATTTTTTTTGCCAGATTGGTTACGTTGCATTTGAGACAGTATGGTAGCCAAGGAATGAGAATTACCCCCATGATGGCATACCATTTAAAAAAGTAGACAACCCAAGGTATTGCAAATGGGGTATGTCATTTTTAGTAGCCACTTAGTCACAAACACTGGGCAAATATTAGTTTTTTTGCTTTTTTTGCTTTTTTCACACAAAAACAAATATGAACGCTAACTTTGGCCAGTGTTTGTGACTAAGAGGCTACTAAAAATGACTGGACATACCCCACGTGCAATACCTTGGGTTGTCTACTTTTGCAAATGGTATGCCATCATTGGGGTAAATCTCATTCCTGGGCTACCACACGGTCTCAAAGGCAACATAACCAATCTGGCGAATTTCAATTTGAAAAAACTGAAAAATGGAATGTGATTTATTTGACCCTTTAACCTTCAAAAACACCGTACAAACTGTTAATGGGTGGGGGGGGGGGGGTACTGTTGTACTCGTGAGACTTTGCTGAATCCAAATATGTGGGTTTTTTGCAGTTAAAGCTAATGATATTATGACAGTTACAGCTAAAATGTCTACAAATGTTTTAAAAATCTTAATTTCTCACAGTTTTTTAAATTTTATTCATAATAAATTATGTTTCAAATATGAATAGTTCATGAAAAATTAAAGCCCTGTTTCTCCAGAACAAAATGATATATAATAAGTGTGGGTGCATATAATGTGAAAGAGGTGAATTACGGTTGAACAGACATATAGCGCAAATATCAGTTTTTGTTTACATTTTGTTTTGATCAGAACGTGTACTATTGACTCCGTCCTGAAGGGGTTAATAAACCTGCATTGAACTGATTTGATTGCAATGAGAGCTGTTATTCTCTGCTGTTTGTTTCAAATTACACTGTAGCAGCATTAATATATTCATTACCCACAATGCTATTCAGACTTGCAATTTGCATTCAAACAAAGTAAAAAATCACTCCTTTGTTAATTCATATCTCTGTGGTTAGGATATACACAAGCTATAATTTGTTTGTTTATGTATAATCGTATCTGACATAACACAAAAAGTCTCCCTAATGTTAATAATATCAAAAGTAGGAAGATATAAATACATCTCAGCTTCACTCCATAGTTAGCTGGTCCGATTACTGTGGGTTATCGTTTCTTACGAATCTCCCCCCCCACCGTAGAATATGACTAGTTTACCTTTTATAATTTTTATCAAGAGTTTTCAAGCTTATGTTTTACACTACATAGAGAACTTACATAGGAGGTAATCAAGAAATATTAGGAAACTATTATAGTAATTATAGTAATGTTACACATCATCGAAATTGTATAATTAATCATGTGTACATGTATATGTCATAATGTAAAATTAAAGATGTTTTGTATAAATATATATATATAGAATTTTATTACACTGTATAGTATTATAGCTGTATTTTATCACATTACTCTGTATTGTATTATATGTCCGTAGTATTATATTACCCTATAAAGTATTAATGGCATACTGTATGGTAGCAAACTTTATAACATTAATGATATATTGTATTATATTACACAGTATGATGTTATATATAATATATATATATAACAGGATTTGATATTGTATTACACAGTCAGACAGTCTCACTAGCATTCTGGGTAATGAATATATTAGCGCTGCTGAGGGGTCATCTGAATGAAGCAGCTGAGTGGGGGGTGGGGAGATTCGTAACAAACAATAACCTACAGTAATCAGACCAGCCAAATGTACTGCAGTGAGCGGTATTTATAGCTTCTAACTTTTTTTTTGCAACCTACGTTTTTTTTATTGTGGCAAATAAATTGATAAACATAAATAGACATTGCAAGTGAAGAGTCAGCTTAGATTACATAACAACAATACCTCGTTTTATCATTAAAAAAAACGAGAAATACAAGTGTTGGTGAGAGTTTAGAACCGAGGTTGTATAGGGTACAGAGACACCAGGTCAGCAGTAGATACATAACATGACAATCCAACATACCGTGTTCATATTAAGGATAACAGTGAAATACAAATGACATAGAATTATATGAGAGCGGGTAATAACGTAATCAAACAGTTCGTTTCAGAGTAGGATCGGCACAGCGTTTGCTCTGAGAAAGCAGAAAGTTCGGAATTGTGTAAACATGAACTTGTTAGCTCAAGAAAAAGTAGAAACAAAACAAAAAAAATGCAAATAAATTATATTAAGTCAAAGCCATTTGAAGAAGTCGTGGTCAGTTGTTGCCTATTGTTGGGGACGAAAGGTTTCACTTTGTTAATATCCCAGCGATGTGGCTCTTGTGTAGATTGTTGCTATGGGGTGGTAGAAAGTGTCAGGAGCTGCTTGTTTCAAATTACACTGTAGCAGCATTAATATATTCATTACCCACAATTCCATTCAGACTTGCAATTTACATTCAAACAAAGTAAAAATCACTCCTTTGTTAATTCATATCTCTGTGCTTAGGATATACACAAGCTATAATTTGTTTGTTTATGTATAATCATATCTGACATAACACAAAAAAGTCTCCCTAATGTTAATAATATCAAAAGTAGGAAGATATAAATATAGCTGATTTCCTTAGTACATTTGGCTGGTCCGATTACTGTGGGTTATCGTCACTTACGAATCTCCCCCCCCACCGTATAACTTGACTAGTTCATCTTTTGTCATCCTTATCCTTTACATCTCATTTATTTATTTATAAATCTTTATTTATTCATAAAATATTTTACCAGGATGGATACACACAAAGATCAAACTCTTTTTAGAATATTTCGAGAGGACAGAGGAGGTATTCAAGAATTAGTAAGTATCATAGTGATTTCTAAGTATATTTATCTATTACACTACATAGTCATTTTATAATTAATCACAGTGTATATATTACAATGTAAAATCAATGATGTATTGCATTTTTATATAAAAATAAATCGTATTACACTGTATAGTATTATATGTCTCCGGCATTATATTAATCTATAAACTATTAAAAACATATATTATAGTATATATGGTATTACTCTATGTCACATTAATACTATAAATGGTATATAAACTATTTCAAGTTCAAGGTTCATACATTCTATTACGTGATATGCTATTGTATTATATTACACTATATAATATTAATGGTATACAGTGTGTTATATCACAGGGTATGTATAATGCATTATTATTATTTTATTATTTATATAGCGCCATCAGACTCCGTAGCGCTGTAAATTTATAATAGGATATGATCTATTCCAGGATATGATATTACAGTATACATTGTATGATGTTAAAGACTGTGATATTGATTATATACATTGTATAATATTAGGGATATAAGATGTATAGTATACATTGTATGATGTTACAGACTGTGATATTGATTATATACATTGTATAATATTAGGGATATGAGATATATAGTATACATTATATTATATGACATGCTGTGATATTGATTATATACATTGTATAATATCATGGATATAAGATGTATAGTATACATTGTATAATATTATGGATATGAGATGCATAGTATACATTGTATAATATTATGGATATGAGATACATAGTATACATTGTATAATATTATGGATATAAGATGTATAGTATACATTGTATTATATGACATGCTGTAATATTGATTATATACATTGTATAATATTATGGATATGAGATATATAGTATACATTGTATAATATTATGGATATGAGATATATAGTATACATTGTATAATATTATGGATATGAGATGCATAGTATACTTTGTATAATATTATGGATATGAGATGCATAGTATACATTGTATAATATAATGGATATGAGATATATAGTATACATTGTATAATATTATGGATATGAGATATATAATATACATTATATTATATGACAGACTGTGATATTGATTATATACATTGTATAATATAATGGATATAAGATGTATAGTATACATTGTATAATATAATGGATATGACATGTATAGTGTAACGGCACCCCCAGGCATAAAAGGGTTAAACCGCCGTTTAGTAGATCTTCCCTTCCAGAGACACAGGCCCAGCTACTGCAGAACACCAATCCGCCAAACAGGAAACCATATGAATGCTGTAAACAGCCGAATAGGAAAAACCATACGAATAGGTTTACACTCCTAGCAGTCAAACTGGAACAGCATACAGTAAATCCCCCCAAGAACGAGACAAAGCTCCGTGTTGAGGGTCAAGCAGTGAACAGACAGAGCTGTGGGTTTATTGTGCTTATGTACACATTCTTACACATTAGTACCACCCACAGGGTTTTGGAACACAACCAATAAACACATACAATACACTCAGACACTCCCACACAAAATCCTCCCCTCTGCCTGTGATACAATTACCTTACACAATAGGTAATGTAATAAGCACAAGCAGAGAAATACAATTTTTCCACATTATTCATAACTTGAACAGTATGCATCACATTCACATAAAACATTACATTTTCAGAATCAGCATACTCCAAATACAAACATACGTCAAATTCATACAAATTGGTGCAATGGTTCAAAAGATAGATCGTAGTCCTTTGTGACCAAAGGAAGCATGGCTTTTCTGCTCAAAACCAGTTCCACCGAGTCTTCTATCCTGGAGATAATTGGGAAGTAATCAAATTATCTCCAAAGACAGAGGCAAAACTCCATTGAACACATGGCAGCAAAAAGACAGTAAAATACAATAAAATACACAAGGTTACATTTATGACATAAAATACAGACATGCAACATATGCCCAGCTAGCTTAGGTCTGAGCGCACAATACTGAATGGCGCTCAGACCACAAACACATACAGTTCAATTGCCATGGAGCCAAAGTAATTTATTACATGAATAGGCTCCATGGCATAGCTATCTGGGTTATATGAGTTCATTCAGTAAATCCGAGAATCTACTGAACGCCAGGGCAGAAAACATGAATAGACCTTTCTGCATAGGAAAATAGGGTATTTAAATGCCGGTCGATAGTCAAAAGGCAGCAGGCACGCAACCAGGCTCCTCCAATGCACAGTGGCGAGATTGGTCTCGTCACATATAGTATACATTGTATAATATTATGAATATGAGATATATAGTATACATTGCATAATATTATGGATATAAGATGTATAGTATACATTGTATAATATTATGGATATGAGATACATAGTATACATTGTATAATATTATGGATATGAGATACATAGTATACATTGTATAATATTATGGATATGAGATATATAGTATACATTGCATAATATTATGGATATAAGATGTATAGTATACATTGTATAATATTATGGATATAAGATGTATAGTATACATTGTATAATATTATGGATATGAGATGCATAGTATACATTGTATAATATCATGGATATGAGATGTATAGTATACATTGTATAATATTATGGATATGAGATACATAGTATACATTGTATAATATTATGGATATGAGATATATAGTATACATTGTATAATATTATGAATATGAGATACATAGTATACATTGTATAATATTATGGATATGCGATACATAGTATACATTGTATAATATTATGGATATGAGATACATGGTATACATTGTATAATATTATGGATATGAGATACATGGTATACATTGTATAATATTATGGATATGAGATACATGGTATACATTGTATAATATTAT